GTTCAATCTTTGGACGCTCTACCTCGTTACAGTTATGGAGTCTCTTTGTAGTCTGTGACGATCGGAATATAAAAGTACTCTTCCCCATCTCCGGCACCTGTTTTCTTTACACAATCTGGTCTTGAGAAACTTCGGTTCCTCAAAGCCTCGCCACCCTTTTTTATTATTCCCCTCTTTCACTTTACGTTGTATAACCTTAGTTTCTTGCATATAATTATATCACTAGTTGTTGGTTAACATATACACTCCGCCACACACACACACACACAGGGCACGCACACTAGTCCAATGCACAAATTTTTAAAGTAGCGATATACTCTTCGAGTCGTTTCTGATCTGCTGCTTGTTTTGCATGCGTGGGACGGCCTGTACAGTAACAGTGGCATTTTATTTTTTCTCGGGTCACCTGGGGCGCTTTTTTTGCAATGTTGGCTCAGCTGACCGCTGGACACTTCCTCGCAAGTGCTCTGGCCCTAACCGCGTTTTTAGTTTTCTGCTGCTGACCTTGCGTCTGTCCCCGTTTTTAATTGCTTTGTTGAAAAATCGTGGATGTATTGTCCGATACCTGTCTCAGTGCTCGTGCAACGCTGCTACATCACAGTCGCTGGATCCTTTATTGCTGCACCAGGAATCGTCGCTTGTACGAGGAGATAGCTGTAGAACAGCAAACTACGAAACTTCTGGTGCTGACCACAAAGAGACCCCTCAACAGTACCTTTATATTACAATGGTCATTCGGACAATGGTTTTGGTGACCCCTATTTTGTTGAAAAACACTGGAACATACCCTCGGGATGACCGTAGTCAATCTGCGCTCCGTGATATTTCTTGTCCCACTGTGATGTGATGGAAATTCGATAAAAATTGTTGATCGGTGAAATTTTTCAGAAAACGCCGCAAATGTCGACCCGCGATCGTGTCAGCCGCCTACGCCAACAATATGGGGTAATTGTTTGGCTTTGTTCGCTTGCTGTTGCAGAATAGGCAAGGCTAGATGTTTTGAAACATTCCTATTTCGTTGTTTAATTAATCCATATAATTTATAACTGTAAATTAATTTATGTTTATATAATTTATAAATTGATTTAATTTAT